CGGTGGGCGCGTGGGGACATGCCAGTGCCACAGCCCGGCCAGTCCACAGACACCACGGTGGCCACGATTCCGCCTGCCTGGAGGCGGGCCCAGGCACCCGCCTTGCTACAGAGCGCCCCAGCGGACTGCGGGCATGGCCAGGTCTGGGACCCTCAGCTCTGGACAAGCAGGCCCAGGCTCCTCAGGACGGCCCTGGTGGGCTGGGGGCGGAGCAGCGTATTTTGTGTCCTCTCCAGGGCCTTGGGGTCACCAGGCAGCAAGGCTGCTCTAGGAGCTGGGAGGGTCTGTGAGCCCCGGCCGGGCTGCTCTCTGGGCTCACCCCCTTCGGAGCACAGGCTGAGGCTAGGACGGGAGCCCGAGACACAGCCACCCCAAGACGCGTGACCTGCTGGTACCACATCTGGGCCGTCTTGGCCCCGGCTCCCCAGATGTTGGAGAAGAGTGTCAGCACCGGCACGCTGTCGCCAATGTGGTCCAGCCTCCGCAGGTGCCCGCTCTGCAGGATCTCCGAGACCTTCTCGGCCATCCGCTTCCCGATGCCCGGGATGCCGCAGGCCTCCTGAAGGGGCAGAGCAGGGAAAGGGTGAGGAGGTGAGGACAGCAGGCTCCTCCCATAGCGCTGCTGGGGGGGTACGCGGAGCCTGGGGGCGCCGGCCGAGGGACCTGTCTTCTGGTTCTCAGGGGGATGGAGGCCTGCACGGAGGAGGGTAACGGGACACTGGTCACCAGCATCATGGTGGCGGCAAGAGCTAATGCTGCTGAGGGCCTGCGGCACATTGGGGCCCGTGTGGAGGGCCTGCAGTGTCGGGGTCCATGCCACCCGGAACCAGCCACTAGTGTTAGTTTCTTTTTACTGAAGAGAAAACTAATGCTGAGAGAGTTTCAGTAACTTGCCTAGAGTCACAGGTGAGTAATGGGAACCGAAATTCACACCCTGGTCTGTCAGGCAACAGAGTCTAAACTTTTTTTTTGAGAGCGGGGTTGGAGTCTCACTCCATCGCCCAGACTGGAGTGCAGTGGCCGCTCCCAGCCACCGCAGCCTCGACCTGCTGGGCTCTGGCAAAACTTCGGCCTCAGCCTTCCAAGTAGCCGGAACTACAGGCGCGTGCTACCACGCCCGGCTGATTTTTGATGTAGTGTAGAGACGAGGTCTTGCCAAGTTGCCCAGGTGGGTCGAAAACTTTTTAAAAAACTTTTTGAGTCAGGGTCTCACTCTGTTGCCCAGGCTGGAGTGCACTGGCACGCTCATGGCCACCGTAGCCTTGACCTCCCTGGGCTCAGGTAATCCTCCTGCCTCAGCCTCCTGAGTAGCTGGAATGACAGGAATGTGCCACCAGGCCCGGCTAATTTTTTTTGTTTGTTTTGTAGCGATGAGGTCTCACTACGTTGTCCAGGCTGGTCTCAAACTCCTGGTCTCAAGAGATCCTCCTGCCTCGGCCTCCCAAAGTGCTGGGCTTATAGGCATGAGCCACTGCACCTGGCCTAAGAAACTTTTTGTCATGGAAAAAAATCCAAAAGTAGACAGAACAGCAGAACAAACTCCCAAGCACTCATCCCCCAGCTCTGACAGTGACCAAGAGTCTGCCGGTCTGTTTTCCTCGATCTCACTTTATGTCTCTTGTGCAAGTTCTGGATGTCACAAACTCTCCACCACTCCACCTGAACCCCCTGGCTGGCTCCAGCCAGGCCCTAGTACCTGGTAGGAGGTGACAGGCTTGGGGAAGCTCTTGAGGGCGTTGATGGCCTTGGCGTAGCCCAGGGCCCTCCACTTGTCCCCCTGGACGCCGTAGGCTCTGGCCAGCACGTCCAGCTTCTCTGTGATGTGCAGGTTGTGGTTGGTCGCCTTCTGGCTGGAGGGCTGTGCACAGACCCACTTATCCAGGCCCTTGGGGGCTGGGCCGGGATCACCGTCTCCCTCAAGGGAGGGCGGGTAGCGGCCACTGACTAGGGCTTCCAGATCGTCAGCGCTAACCCGGCTCTCTTCCCCGTCACTGCTTTCTTCATCAGAGGCGGGCTTGAGGGGGAAGGGAGAGAGACCATCAGCACAGTCCTCCATGGGAAGGGCTGCTCAAGGTGGGGCTGTCATGGGGGGGCTCCTAGTCAGGCCCAAGAGCGCAGCAGCACCCCCTGCATCGGGCTGGGGCTCCCTAAGGGACCGGTCCATCTGGCTTCCCAGTGGTGTGGGTGGGTGCGGCCTGGGTGAATGCAGGGGCCAGGGGGGCTGGGAAGAGCTCAATGGCCTCGCAAGGAAGCCTCCTCTCTCGGGGCCTGGGCCGTTCGGAACCACCGCCAGGCCCTCCGCGTATTGGACCTGGCTCCCCACGCCTCCTGACCTGGGCTTGGGTGCCGGGCGCCTCTTTCGCCCTGCGGGGAGGAGATGAGGGTCCCGCGGGAGGAGGCAGCGGAGGAAGGGCTGTCTCAGGAAGAACCTCGTGGGCGCCGGGAGGAGAGGAGGAGCCGGAGTGTGCCGTGCTGGGCTGCGGGCCCCTGCGGGAATGCCGAGGGAGGTTGGGACACCGAGGGCCTCACCCACCTGTCCCCAGTCCCTCTCTGCTCCAAAACCTTGTTTCTCATGTGTCCAACTAAGAAAAGGAGTGACTTTTTTTTTTGGAGTTGGAATCCCTGTCGCCCAGGCTGGAGTGCAGTGGCACACTCCCGGCCACCACAGCCTCGACCTGCTGGGCTCTGGTGATCCTTCTGCCTCAGCCTTCCAAGCAGCTGGAACTACAGGCACGCGCCGCCACACCTGGCTAATTTTTTGATTTATGGTAGAGACGAGGTCTCGCCAAGTTGCCCGGGCTGGTCTTGAACCTGTGGGCTCAGGTGGTCCTCTCACCTCGGCCTCCCAAAGTGCTGGGATTATAGGCGTGAGGCCCCGCACCCAGCAGGAGTGAGTTTTAATAAGTCAGGAAGGAATTCGAGATGCTGCCGGCATGTGGAAAAGGCCGGGGACCAGCCTACCTGCTGGGGTCCACGACGCTGAACCCGGCCACGTCCACCAGCCGTCTCTCCTGCAGACACAGGCTCAGCCAAGCAGACTTCACCAGCTGAGCGCCGGGAGGTAGCCGGGGCAGCCTGAGGAGGCGCAAAGCCCGATCCCAGGCCACTCCTTCATCCACCACAATGTGTGTGACACCGGGAGCCGGGGTTGGGGAGATCTGGCCACCATGCTGGACGATCTGCTTCTCGAAGAGCTCCGCCCGGGCGCGTCCAATGCCGGTGGGCACGACGTGGGCCCGCAGGGAGCTCAGCCACTCTGTGAAGGGGACATCAGAAGCCCACGGCTGTTGCTTCTCATATGATCTGAATGAAGCTTCACAGTCCCCTCCCGCGAAACAACCACCTCCTTCCATCCAGACAGCGCTCCTGGGGATTCGCCCACAAACACAGCAGCCTTCCTCACGGGCCACCGCGCGGATGGAAGGAACAGGGATCCCTGGTGCAACCCAGATCAATGTCTGGTGCCCCGCGGGTAACCTACACATACCTGCTGAATGAATGAGTTATGTCCCTGCTTTGAATCCCTTCATTTTACCACTTGCTCTCTCCACAAGGCACACGTGCCTTGCCGTTGCCCGTCTCTTGCCCCCTCGGTCTAGCAGAACTGACACCCCTGCCTCCCAAGCCTCTGCCACCTATTTGTCAGTTTGGCTGCCAAACGACTTACAAGCCTGGGCGCTGGAGGGGGATTTCCGTCCTGCCCCCAGCCTGCCCAGGGCAGCCTCCTGGAAGGCAAAGGCTTCTGCTAGCCATTTCCTGAGGGTCCAGGGGTATTTTCTGATGGATGGAGGTCTCGGGTGGGAAAGAGGATGGCACAGCAAATGACCAGTCAAAGCCCGGCAATCAAGCCCAGCACAAGGCAGGTACAAACAGACCTGGTGGCCCTGGCCAGGCAGAGGCAGCCCGCGGGCTGGGCTCTGGACATGAACAAGCAGAGGGTCAGGGTGGAGGGTTCAAGTGTGGGAGGGCTCTGAGGGCGTGTCAGCTCACCTCCTGCCTCTCCCACATCCCTCCTGGGGATTTTGGCAAGTGCCTTCGAGGCCAGACCGGCATGGATTCTCCTCCGCTTGGGAAATGCCTTCAAGATGCCCCCAGGGTCCATTGGAGCGGCTGGGTCCCGCCTCTCTGCCCGCCGGCCAGGGCTGTCCACGGAGGCCCAGGGGAGGCTCCGGCCCGGCGGGTCCCCAGTCCTCAGACCTCCCGGGTCTCAGGACGCAATGGAACCCCGAGGCTCCGCCGGCGACACCCCCAGCTCTTCGAAGGGCGCCGGGGCAAACGAGGCCAGACCGGGCCTGCGGGTGGGCGCGGCAGAGGCGACACCACTCCGCAGGGGGGCCCTGAAGGCGCGGCCTCCGCCCGCCGCCCACGCCCGCGGGGCCTCGCCCAGGAC